ACCATTTAAAGGCTCAGGAAACCTTTGCAGGCGTTTGAGGTAATTAGCTGATTAGGGTGTGACACCATGACTTTCCAATATTGAACTTTTTCACAATATTCTAATTTTCTGAGACACTGAATTTTGGGTTTTCATTATCTGTAAGCCATAATCATCAAAATTTCAAGAAATAAAGGCTTGAAATATTTCACTCTATGTGTAATGAATCTATATAATATATGGGTTTCACTTTCTGGATTTGTAAGCTATAAAGGCAACTCATTATCAGTTATCCAAAACCAGCTATTGCTATCAAGATACAGCCTAAAGGTGTGGTCACAGTAGCAAAAGATCTGTCTTTTGATTGGATTTATGTCAGGATATATGATCGCTTATCTCTCACCCAGGCCATGGCGTTTTTATAGCATTGTTGCTTCATGACCTGTTGCTCCCTTCCAGTCTGGAGGAGCAATAAGGTGTTGTTTCTGGGGCCTGTTCTTCCTGATTGTAGAAAAATGGCTGAGTAATTGTGTGTGTGTGTGCGTGCGTGCGTGCGTGCGTACGTGTGTGTGTGTGAGACCATGTTACTTTTAATGTGGTAAAAGGACATTTTAGGTTATATTGACACCTCAGTGTCAAAATCAGTGTTGTTTGATCTAAAATGTTAATGCTGGACACCAGAGTCCAAAGCTTCTCTCCTATCTGTATCCTACAGAGCTGGGATGGTGGCTATGTGTCTACCTTCCATAACGTGTCAATGTCAAATCTCTAAACGGTTGTAAACGGTTCAGACATCACTGTTTTGATTGTGTGCAGCAATGCTGGAATGCTTTGGCAATACAAATGTATAAAAATTTGTCATGCCAATAAAGCACCTAAAAACTGAAACACAGAATCAAAGCATTCACCAAGATTATTACCTACCACACTTTCTATATCCTTCTGAAAAGGTGTTATGTTTGGGCATGTTCTTTCTAGATCATCTGTATGTGTGAATGCTGACATCTCTGTAGATCAGTACAACCGTATGTGGGCCGCATGTGAAGCAGGCCTAATGGAATCGAAGAGAAGGCAGGTGACATAAGGCTGAGCATCCTCTGGAAAACTCTGAGGGGACAAGACGTCCCCAATCTCATGTCAGTGAGCTTTCCAGCGTAAACCAGGCCCGCATCTGGGCCGAGTTGATAACTGTCCCCAGGAAGACGACTCACTGGCTGGGAGACAGAGAGCCCTTAGCCAAATTGATTTTCAGCCCAAGGTGCTCAGAGGAGAAACAGCCGCATCCACACACTTCGTAAAAGTGCTCAGGGCCAGAGACAGCTTGAAGGGCAGGACTGTATATTGATAAGCCACCCCCTTGAATTAGAATCTCAAGAACGGTCTGTGATGAGTGATTATCTGGATGCGAAAGTAAGCATCTTTCAGATCCACCAATAAAAACCAGTCCCCGGGGCATATCTGTGGGAGGATCTGTTTCAAAGTCAACATCCTCAGCGGCCATTTCATCAGCGGACAGTTCACGTGTTTGAGATTAAGGATGGGCCTGAGCCCGCCATCTTTCTTGGTAACAAAAAAGTAACGGCTGTAAAAGCTTGACTCATTGTCTCTATTGCCCCTTTTCCAAGTAGACTTTGCACTTCAACCCGGAGAACATGTGAATCGTAGTACCATACCGAAGTTTGAATAATAACTCTGAAGCAAGGGGGTCTGCAAGCAAACTGGAGTAACTTGACATGCCCGGCCACTGGACCAAAGTGGTCTGAGTCTTTTCGAGTGGCAAGCTGAACAGAGCTTCCATCGCCCAGAGCTAAGTGGGGGAATGGAGAGCAAGCACGAGACTTCTTTTAAGGGTAGTCCGGGCTCAGCTGGACCTGACCCACTTCTCTTCCTTTCTGCATTGAGATCAGGGCGGCTTCTGTGGCTCAGGGTCCAACATCACTCTGCGGCAGGGTCCCTGGTGCTTAGGTAATAGGTAGAGTTTAGCCATCTGAAGACACATAGCCTGTGATGACCTTTGTGCCGCCGGGAAGCTCTCAGTGAAACCATCCACTGAAGGGCCAAATAATTCCATGGGGGAAACTAGAGAGTCAAGGAAGGTGACCATGTCAACGTCCTTGATCTCCATTAGGTTCAACTAAAGTCATTATAGCATCACCAGGTTGGCCATGGCCTTGCCAATTGCCTGCTCTTTAAAGGCATCAGAATTCGAGCCGGAGTTGTCCATTGTTCTGAAAAGTATGGCCTGAAAAACTTGGAGCACCGGGATCATATGGAGCACTGAGCCAGCCTGGCCAGCCGCCGAATAAGCCCTGCCCTCTAGAGTGGAGCTAGTAGGGCAGAGATGCACAGCGACCACCTGAGGGGGTAGCTTGCCATAACCCCTGTCTTCAGTGCCATCAATGGAGGTGAGGGCAGCAGAAGTGAAGGGATAAATGTGCACTGAGTAGGGGCCGTGACACGTCCTGGTAAGTTCGTTGTGAAATGCCTGGAAGAACGATCCCAGCCTTTGCCAGGAGGATCATTGACGGCATCCTGGCAGGTATTACTCGTCAGCCTTAATTGTAGCAGTATGGAAATAGTCAGGGCATCATATGCACTATGCACTAGGGGTGGGCTAAGTAAAATCAAATGTTTTCAGTAAAGACCTGAATGTTTTACTACTATGCCAGAACCGCAAATTTGCTCTCTGCACATCTAACAGCATCTACTTACATTGTCATTCACTCCCGACAAGAACCGCCTACTGAGGCTCGTACTTCTGTTTGACATGTAAACTGGCCAACCATCGATAAAATGTTACTGCAGCTGCTTCAGGTATCTGTAACTTACTGTATAACCTATCCCTATAATACTGATCTTGCTAATTTGCTACTGAGCCCAGTCACTATGAAACAACAAATATAGATATTTAAAGGGGTCATATGACGTTGCTAAAAAGAGCTTTATTTTGTGTATTTGGTGTAATGCAATGTGTTTACATGGTTTAAGGTTCAAAAAACATTATTTTCCACATACCGTACATTATTGTTGCTCCTCTCTGCCCCGCCTTTCTGAAACGTGTCGATTTTTACAAAGCTCATCGTTCTGTAAGTGTGCTGTGCTCTGATTGGCCAGCTATCTAGTGCATTGTGATTGACCAAATACCTCAAGCATGTTCAATTCAATTTTTCAAAGTTTATTTGTATAGCGCTTTTCACGATACAAATCGTTGCAAAGCAGCTTTACAGAAAATTAAAGTTTCTACATTATATTTAGTAGTAGCTTATCAGTGGTGACTATGTCAAGTTGATGTCCATTTGGCAGAAATGTACAGTATAGCAAAATTTGGTAGTTTTGTATGTTGTTCCAGGGTTGGCATCATCTGAGGTACTCTGAGGGGTTGGCATCATCTCTTCTCAGGTTTTTGGTCATCTCCGATCTTTGTAAGGGTTGGATTCAGACTGAACCTTGTGTAGTTCCTAGTTACCTCGGGATGCCAATCCCGTGGCAGAAACAGAAAAGCAAATAGAGAAAAAAAAATTGTGTAGCAGCTGTTCCAACAAAGCAAAAATGATGTGTTCAACCCAAGCAAAAGAATGATAATGTGCATTTGATCAGATATAACTGAAGTACAAAGGTTATGATATACATTATGTGAATGCTTGGCTAAAGAGATGTGTCTTTAATCTAGATCTAAACAGAGAGAGTGTGTCTGAACCCCGAACGTTATCAGGAAGGTTATTCCAGAGTTTGGGAACCAAATGCGAAAAAGCTCTAACACCTTTAGTGGACTTTGGTATCCTAGGTACTACCAGAACTCCAGAGTTTTGCGACCTTAGGGAGCGTGATGGATTGTAGTGTGATAGAAGACTAGTTAGGTACGCAGGAGCTAACCCATTAAGGGCCTTATAAGTATTTTAGCGTTTGAATAGTCAGTAGCAAATTCTTTAAATATGAAAACATACTTACAGGCTGTGAGTCAGAAGCACAAGACTGTCCTTGCAAAGTTGGATTTGCCCCACTTTTTAGAAACAGCCTTTGTGCACAACCGGTACTCTCCCAGGTTCAGGAAAGAGTCCTCTGTAAAATGCGCTGCACACACTTGAATATTTGGGTTGTACTGTTCAGGAACAGTGTTGTAAATACAACTTAACCACTGATTTCTAGTTGTGTCCTCATTTTGAAGGCCAAACAAAGTAGTTTGACTTTCTCAATGAAACACACAGCGTCTCCACGACATGGCGGCAGCGGCAACAATACTACAGCAAGAAGAAAAGTTATGCCTTCTTCATATATATGCATGAACAGCTTGTAACACTCCAAAGACAAAAGAAAACATGAAATTGTGTCATAGGACCCCTTTAATCATAGAATTATATGCCATCTTTCTAGGACATTTAGGGCATTTAGAGAGATTACATAAACGGTTTGGTTAGCATGGTCTGTGGCAGACTTTTCTTCGTGTAAGGGCAACAATTCAATGAACAAGAAATAAATATTAAGTGGGTTAAATTGTAGAGACAATGTTGTCTATGCTCCATTTCACTAAAGAAAATGGTCCCAAATAAAGCCATGTTGTGCATCTCAGCGGCAACTCACAGCAGTATTTCATTACTGAATTCATTAGTGTTTTTGAACTGACCCGTTCATGAAAACAGTTTCTTACTTTGTTCCTGAATTAATCAGTCATTTTGAAAGAGTCGACTGAATAAATGACTCAGCGACTCATTAAGACGGCGTCTTGCTGTCTTCATTTTTTTTTCAAGCACACAATATATATTGCTGACTATATTTTATATTTTTATTTGAATTATAATTTACTGACAAGTCTTGAATGAGCCCTTAAGCACAAAAATTGAACTTTCCTAAGATTAATGTCAAGGAAAATATTTAAATAATAAAGTCATGACCCCTTTAAAAAGACTAGATTTCGCCCACTAAAATTTGCAGTGCAACGGTAAATATGACTACACCTTAATTATTAAATTTTACTTACATTTTTAGTAAGACTTATGATCTAACAGAAGTGTGTGTGGTCTCACCTGCTCTAAGTCAGAGTTTTCAGGCTCAAAGCCGGTGGGCAAGCCTATATCCAGAATCACCATTCTTCGCTCTCCCTCAAGAGCCCTGACAAAATAAAAAAGCAAAAATTTGACAGCTTGTTCTGCCAAGAGGGTGTGAAACAATAGAAGTGCTTACCTCACTCTGATAGTAAGTTTGTAAGACATTTCAACATCTGGTCGGGGATTTTCTAAAATGGATCACGGATATTTGATCAACATGTTTGATATTAAAGTTTAAAATATACAGTAAGGATTCTTAAACTGTGTCAAGAACATACCATTAGCTTTAGCAATGGAGACATCCAGTTGGAAGCCATTACATGTGCTGTTCTCATACACATCAGGAAGCTCATGGTACACTGTTACTACCTGGGACACATAAAACAGGAAAGAATTGATAGACTTGATAGTACACTAATGTTGTGGGCTGGTATCTTGGTTATACTTTGTGCAAGTGTTTTCATGTGTGTGTGTGCGTGCGTGCACGTGCGTGCGTGCGTGCGTGCGTGTGTGTGTGGATTAATGTACCTCCAAAATTCCCTTGCCATTCCCAGTAGCCACCACTTTGAATTCCTTGTCAACTGGTACCTGAAAGAGGTAATCAAAGTTGGAAAAAGAACTATTACTTTCTAAACCTAAACTTACCAGTGTTTTTTTTTTTTCAAATTGATCCTGACTGATGTCAATAAGTAACTGATAATCTACATCACTTTTCAGGCAGTGTTGGGAACTTTTGAAACGGTAGATCAGTGTTAGGAAATTTGAAGCTGACTGATAACTAACATCTTACAACTCGTCAGCGATACCATTCGCAATGCCTTCTTTAAATAGTCCTTCCACCAATCACATTAAAATAATACTCTATTTTGTATCTTTGTTGTGTAATTCATATTTATGTGTCTTACATTTATTTTTCTTCTTTTTAGTTGTATTTAATATTTAGATTTGAAGCTGACATAAATATCTAAATTTGAAGATAAACATACTGTCTATAAATTCTTCTGTGCTGAAAGAGTGAAAGTCCCCATATGCTCACCTGAGCAGTTTGAAGCTTATGAACCATTTTGGGAAGGAAGTTCCACAGAGTAATTCTGTCACCGGGCACATGGAGCTCCACCCTTAATGTACGTTTAGAAGGAGGAGGCCTCTTTACCAGGTACTCAGCGAGGGCTTGTAGTACTACCATAGTGGACTGGGGATTTTAAAAAAGGATAAAAAAAAGTACAGCATTTAAAGCATAAAGCATTATTATGATATCTTGTTAGAGGACACTAATTATCAGTGTTGGGGAAAGTTCCCTTTAAAGGGTCCCTATTATGCCCTTTTACAAAGTCTTGATTTGGTTTTTGGAATGTACTAGAATAGGTTTTCATGCTTGATTGCTCCAAAAAAACGCATTATTTTTCACATATTTTACATAATTGGAGCAAATCTCTTCCCAGTCTTTCTCAAAAGCCCTGTTTAGCTCCTGTGTCGATGAAGACTCCCCTTCTAAAATATGAAATGTGCTCAGTGTGTTGTGATTGGTGAAACGCTTAGATCGTGTTCCGTAAATGACAAGCCCCTTACCATAACTGTGAGTTTCATCTGCTCAGCTGTAAATATTAACGATGGCATCAATTTTGCCATACCAAATCGAGCCCAATTCAGACCCTGAGAATGTTTACGAACAAGAGGATTGTGCAGAACCTTTGCAAGCACTGATTTTACTGGACATTTCAGAGTGGTATGTTTTTTTTTTTGGTAATTTTCTTATACATTTTATATACAATGTTAAACATTTAAAATTAAGTGCAGTAACTGTATAGGAAAAGTGCAAAGATAATATGTACTCAATGTAGTATTATTTAATTACAACGGTATTGCATTAACTGCAGTAAAACTGTTATACATCTGCAGGAGAAGCTTTTGTGTGTAGTCGGAATTGCAGTCTGTTAGGTTCTGGAAGCTGTCCTTTGTAAAATGTGCAGCACGCAGATAAATATTGGAGTTATATTGTTCAGGAACAGATTTAAAAATAAGTTTGTCTGCCTTAGGGAGGCCAAACAAAGGGGTTTTGGAACCAGGGTGGAAAAATAACCATGGAAATAACACACTACTAAAGCAGCTCTTCTTCTTCTCTAGCACAACTCAACTTCACTGTGAAGAATCAGTGGTTAAAATAAATTTTTTCCATGATACCAAAGCAATACAATTCGAACCTTTTGTTGTGTGCTCGTCATTTTACCGAGGACTGCTTCTCTAATCTTGGCTTTTATCTTCTTTGGCCTCTAATCTTATTTATTTGGACTAACAAGTGTCTTCGAAGCATAATTTGAAAGTACGATTGATGTTATGTGTACATTTTAAAGCGAGTGCTCAAAATATCTAGTTTTTGTGCTAATATGTGATGTATACCTAGTGCAGCTTTAGGTTTCTAGGTAACCACAATATTACTGTCTTACTGAAATTCGCTGTGAACCCACTATTTCCTAAGAATGTGTCGACTAATGTAGACGTTGTTCTAATTACTTCGTTTAATAATAAATAATGTAACAGACATATTTTGGTTTACAAACTGTGTTGTTTCATCAGTTACAAACTGTGTTGTTTCATCAGGCTAACGTATCCACCATTATTATTTTGTTATGTGTTTACAGTTTAGCAGCTAAACTTTAGCTGTGGGCACGATTCACTTGCATAAGTGTTAAACAATGTTTTTATGTCATTATTTTAAGAACAGATTGGAGCACTATATTATTGTTTTATGTAAAGGTACGGGTTTCCAGGTTTTCACAACAAAACCCGCCTAATTACTCAAAACTGTCCCAAACGCACTTCGAGGGGGGTCCCCAGGGGTCCGCGTTCCAGGGTGTAAAATACGCACTTTTTGTCGGGGTTCCTCTGGTAAATTCGCATTCCCTGGGCTAAATATCACGTTATTGGGGTCGCTTCAACCCGCGGACATCAAAAACAACCGCGGACTTGGCAACACAGATGGTAGTGCTCGCTAACTTGGTCAAGTACTCCTCTATGTGCCAATCACAACAAGCTTGGCCAGCTGACCAATCAGAGCAGTGTAGGCTTATGGAAGGGAGGGGTTTACAGACATTATGCTCAAAGCTGATTCAAACGAACCATTTCGAAATCATTGACAAATGACTATTGTAACGGCCAAAACTATGTATTTGCATGCATCACATTATAATGCGGTGTGCCCTTTAAGAGACTGATCACTTAACTTATAACGCACGCTATGTGGTGGTGACGTAGAAGGACTACGTGCCTGTGTAATGAGAACCACTATGGATGATAAGTTCGCTCTGCCTTCTTGTTATTATTTTGTCTTGACGTTTATTTGTAACACTAAGAAAGAGTTAATCTCTCATGTATGAGAGGAGCGCCTTGCCGTTTACCAGCCATTAAATGTGTGGGACACCAACTCTTCGTTTTCCATCTCTTTCATTTCATGGATTTAACGAGTTATCCGAGTCAAAGCGTTACAATTGGCGCCCGAACAACTGAAGCTGGACCCGTCATCTATGTGGAATCTACCGCGATGAAACCCTAAATCTACGGAGTTGGGGAGCTGTGAGAGTGTTCAATCGGCATCATGGGAAGATGGTGAGATTAGCTTGCTAACGCTGGGTGCCATGTGTGCGGGGAACGCCTGTATTTCTGCTTGAGTGGATGACGCAACTTTTTTTTTTGATGTGAAGAGGACATCGGATTAATTTAAAATATTTAGACTTTGTGCTTAATCGGACATTTTGATATCGATCACAAGCTGATGATGACGTTTTTTTTGAATGAGATAATTTGATTTGCTTTTTGAGGGAGTGATCGAATTGCTAATTTTTCCCGGCCTGTTTCCCAAGTGTAGACTGACGTTTTGTTTATAACCTTCCTGGGGATATTTCAGTGTGCGTTGAACTTGACTGCGCACGTGAAGCGAACTTGACGCACAAGCGAAGAAAAAGATTTTTCTTTTCAAAGACGATTCGGGGTTAATTTTTGTGCATTGGAACTGCGTTTTGAACATTTTGAAGAAACAATTCACCCGTTGGAACAGTTTTTCTTCATCGTGAACTGAATTTACTTATGCTGGACTGAAGAGTAGTTTCTAACTCTGGACATATTTGCATGGTCAAGTAACTTAAAAACATTTCATTCAATTTAAAACAACATTCTCTTGCTCTGGGTCTGTTGAGGTAAAAACACAAATCTCACATAAAAGAGACAGTGAAAAGGTGTGTGGTATTACTACTATTACTAACTCAAAGGGATTGTTGATGTGAGGTTGAAGATTTTATTGATGGTGGGTGCATTTTAATAGCAGGTTGTATTTTTCTGGGTTAGATTTAGAATTTTTACACTTGCTATATTGTTGTTTATGTAAATGCACATTTACTGTGATGGCTTCTCACCCAGACCTTAACACTGACTTGACCTACACATTACCAGATTCTGCCCCCAGACAGAGACAAAAGTTACCACAGCGAGTGTGCCTGGAGACTCAAGTGGAACTCCTACAAGCTGAAGTATCTGTATTGCAAAAGTGCCTCAACGATTCTCTCCAGTTGCAGCAGAGTATATTAAGACGTTTTGGTCCTCCTGATGTCGACACCCCTGCAGTGCCATATGCGCAGCTACCTCCTATGGCCAGCTCTACACCACACAGCCGTGTGTGGACTATCGTGGGTTGAATCAGCTTACCGTGAAGGACTCTTACCCATTACCAAGAGTCGATGAGTCCCTTGACTTCCTTTCCACAGGGACATTTTTGACTACAATCGACCTTGCTCGGGAATACTGGCAGGTCTCCATGGCGAAAGAATCAAAACCTAAGACTGCTTTTGTTTCACACTGTGGGCTATTTCAGTTCCGTGTGCTTCCATTTGGTCTGTGCAATGCACCAGCGACCTTTCAAAGACTAATGAATAGTGTCCTGGCTTGTCTCATTTATAGGTGCTGTGCAGTCTACTTGGACGACATTGTTGTGGCTTCACCCACTTTCAAGCAACAACTCGATGACCTCAGGGAAGTCCTTTCACGGCTCAAGTCTGCCGGGTTGACCATTAAACTGGTCAAATGCCAGTTTTGTCGCAGAGAGCTCACCTTCTTGGGGTACCGTTTCTGTCCACGTGGCGTCCTGCCGGACCAGGACAAAGTGAAAGCTGTTATGGACTTTAAAACTCCTGTCAATGTGAAGCAAGTGAGGCAGTTTTTGGGCCTATCAGGCTATTACCGTCGGTTCATACAGGACTACGCCCGCCACGCTGAACCACTGTTTGCGCTCACTAAAAATGATTCTCCTTTTGTGTGGGACAGTGCCTGCCAAGACGCCATGAACCTGCTGAAACAAAAATTAACTTCGGCACCTGTGCCCTGTGCTAAGTTTTCCTGACTTCCCTCTACCGTTTTTTGTTCATGCCTGTGAACTAGGAGCTGCGCTGATGCAGAGAGATCTGCATGGCAGAGAGGTTGCTGTGGCATATGCTAGTCGGGCCCTGCATAAATCAGAGAAACCTTATTCCACACCCGAGAAAGAGTGTCTGGCTGTCATTTGGGCCCTTGAGCACTTTAGGCCTTACATTGAGGGTCTGCATGTCACAATCTTCACTGACCACAGTGGGCTCAAGTGGTTGATGTCCCGTCCCAACCCCACTGGCCGCCTTGCTCGTTGGGCCCTCCGCCTTCAGGACTTCGATTTCAATGTTGTCCACAAGCCTGGATCTCGAAACAAAGTGCCTGATGCGCTGTCGAGGAATCCTCTAACAGATGATGTGCCACCAATGGACCTCCTTCCTGACTACGCTGTGATTGGTGGTCTGGATCTCCGTACGCTATCTTCAGTAACTCTTACGGATCGATCTCATGTCAGGCAATTACAACTTGAAGATCCAATCTCAGGTAATCTCCTTCGTAAAATGGAGGCAAAGCTCCAACAGGGTAGCGACGGGGATGATTGCTCTCAATATTCCATTCATGATGGCTTGTTGTACTTTAACAATCCCAAACCTGCTTGTGGCATCCACCCTTTGAAATGTTTAAAGCTGTATCATACTGACAGATTGGATCTGAAGTAGTAATTTGTTTGCTTGTTCGAATTTCTTGTGTGTTTAAATGTTAATAATAAGCTGTTCTTTCCTTGTATAGCAATGGGAATCTAGAAAGCATTGTTCTAATTCTTGTTTTCATGTGTTCGGAAAAAAAGAAAAGAAAATTGTTTTGCACTTATGGGTTGGTTATGCAAGCTTTTGTTTTTATGTGATATGTCTTTGAAAAGCATACTGTATAATGTGTAGCTTGTACTGACATGTATGCCAGTTATTGCCTTCTGTATGTGAAACATGTTATGAGTTGATGGATTTCCAAGTTTCCATGTATGGAGCTGAATTTAAACGTTGTCCTCATGTTGTGTACGGCTGGGGACAGCCTTTTTCTTTCCGGTGGGGAATCTGTAACGGCCAAAACTATGTATTTGCATGCATCACATTATAATGCGGTGTGCCCTTTAAGAGACTGATCACTTAACTTATAACGCACGCTATGTGGTGATTACGTAGAAGGACTACGTGCCTGTGTAATGAGAACCACTATGGATGATGTTCGCTCTGCCTTCTTGTTATTATTTTGTCTTGACTTTTATTTGTAACGCTAAGAAAGAGTTAATCTCTCATGTATGAGAGGAGCGCCTTGCCATTTACCAGCCATTAAATGTGTGGGACACCATCTCTTCGTTTTCCATCTCTTTCATTTCATGGATTTAACGAGTTATCCGAGTCAAAGCGTTACACTATGTATAAATGTATATTCTGAGAAAATTACAATATTTTCTGACCTTAGATTCATTTAAACCTGTTGTAGGGGACTCTAACACAATATTAGGACACTTTAAAAAACCATATGACCTGCTCTTTAATATTCTGGATTAAGCAGTGACAGTCATTTCTGATTCTGTACACATTTATACTACATTTTAATGTAATATGTTTGTTTATTCTGTTTTTAGACTAATATTTAATACACTTTGGAAAGAAGGTCTACTCTCCTCGTCCTTTATGTCCTGACCGACACCCAGTGTGTATACTGCTCATACTATTAGAACCAGAGCCTAGCAGTCCCTTTTCCTCTGCAACATTGGTCCTTCGAGTCGGATGCGGTGGTCATTCCTGGTAACATGGAGTCTAGTGAGAAGATCATTGGAGCAACCCAACCAAAACATCGAACAGGTCCACCAGTCCGACTCCAAGACTTTAAAGTGCAGTATGTAGGGGGCAGACCTGTACCTGAACATTTTATCTCACCTCCCTGGGAGGCACCTGTCCATGAGACCCCTCTCCAGTCATCATGGTATTATCCTGAGTACTTCTGTGGTGAAGCTGCTCCTAATACTGGCCCTTTATTAAAGGATTAGTCCACTTCCAGAATAAAAATTTCCTAATAATTTACTCACCCCCATGTCATCCCAGATGTTCATGTCTTTCTTTCTTCAGGCACATAAAAATAATGTTTTTTGAGGAAAACATTCCAGGATTTTTCCCAATATAGTGGACTTCTATGGTGCTCAGTTGATTGAAGAATATCTGTTAAAATGCAGTTTCTCATCTTTGTTTTACCTTTTTTTTTGTAAAGGGGAAGTACTGACCCAGTGTTTACAAAGTGAACGTGCAACGAAGGTCAAACGCCCATCCTGCCATGTAGACCAGCAAGAGCTGGCCCCATCAGCTGATGAGGAAGAGCGGCCTGAGCTTCCACCTTGGCCTGAGCCTGAGTCAGATCTGTGAAGGGGTATGGAGACTTTAAATTTAAACAAATCTGGCACAGCTACACACCAACCAGAGGTACCTAAGAAATTGAGTGTCTCTCAAGCGCACTCTTCACAAGCATACCCCCCCTCCTACATATTATTTTCACCATCTCCAACACCTGAAGAACTCAAGTTATTCTCCTCATTCTGCAAAGCCCTCATATCTAAAACCCTTAGGGGCCCAAAGGTCAGTTTCTTCCCCCTGACTTGGGTCCATGCCTGCTCAGCCAAGTCACCTAGCATCTGGGGTTAGAGTCGAACAATGCACTTTTAGCCCATACGTCAGTGTCCAATCATGTGTATAAAGGGCCTACTCCTACCATCCAGTAGTTCAGCCCAAGTGAGTTTGCCAGACTTCAAATAGCCTTAGAGAATCTGCTTCCTTCAAACTGAACTCTTTAAATATCAGATACTTGTGGAGCACTTAAATTTAGATGAAGCTAAGCTGATAGCTGTTCGATGATAGATGCTTATTTGAATTCGCTTACCCCATTTACTGATACCATGGGGGCCCTCCAGAGAGGTTCGGTCAACCCCACCAGCTAGCTGTGAGGAAAATGTCCAGTGTCCTGGAAGTCCCTGATATGAAGCGTGGAGATGCAGTTGCATTCTAGAGGTTTGCCCTTCAGGTACAGTCATTAGTGGGTTTGATGAAAACTTTAGAACCCGAGGGTAACATTGAGCTGAATTGTGGGTCCCAAGTCGCATGTCTTTTGAGCAAGCTTCCTTCGGAGCAGCGAGTCGAGTTTTGCCATTATACATTACGCTAACCTGGCACTGTACCTTCTTTATATGACCTCTTTGACTGGCTCCGCTATGATTAGTGGTCTAGTGGCTTTAATGTAGAGATTGCCCCACGAGGAGTTCAAGATAGACAGAACCCTAGATCTGTACAGAGTAAGACAGGAGTCATTCTTCATGGGGTTGAAGAGGCTCAAAATTTAACTTCCCTGTCATCTCAGAAGGTCAGTTATGACACATATAAAATTGTATAAATTGTAATTGTATAATATACAATTTGTCCCTGTATTATCAATATAATATAAATATATAGTGAGAGGCTAACGAGTCAAACGGGATATATTAACATTATTGCTTCTGTTCCTTTTTTTTTTTTTAAATACCTGAGTTGAGCCATACCCTCCTCCGATGTCACGTTGCTCATTTAACCATTGAAAAGGGGCAACTGACTCCTTCATATGACCTTCTTTGATCAGTGCTAACAATGCATAGCCAGTAGCTTCCAGTGTGAAAAAGCGATTATCAGAGTCAGTCCAGTGGGTACGATCTGTGGACAGAAGACGACAGTTAGAAGACAAGAGGAGAGAGAGACTGACCTTGTGAAACAGTACCTATTGGAAAGGTAACTGTTTGCAAAATTTAGGTTACATATTTATGTACCCGGTGAGGCAAACTTTAACAGCATGCTCTTCATGCAGCCATGGTTGGATACTGCTAAAGCGTAGCATGCTATAGCCACTGTGTACGGCCTCTTCAGTCGAGGGAAATTCTCCCTTAGATACTCCGCTGCTTTACTGGAATTGCCCTATATTGATTAACAGGAATATTATCAGAAGCATTTCGGAATCAGGACCATAATCAGGGCATGTAAGAAAAAATAAATTTTTTGAATGGCTTGTTACCTTACATTTCAGAAAAATTAAACGTTTGATTCATTTCTTGATTCATCTCTATCCTTTTTCTAACAGCGTGTGTGAACGTGTTACCTCAGTTCAGAAAGTTTGTGTGTGTTACTTTTATGCTGTGAATGCACATGTATGTATATGTGTTAATGTCCCACTTGTGTGTGTGTTTGTAAAGGAGAAAGAATTAAGTTACCTGTATTTTGAGGCCTGGCTCTTGGCAGGTAACAGCATTTTGTGCCTCTGCCAAAGCAATGAGCACGAATGCGGTCAGAGACACTCTGGATTCAGAGCCTCGCAGACCTCCCTTTATACCAACACAGTGAACATAACGACATATGTTAGTACTGTGAGAAAGCATTCAGATAGCAGTTTTACCCTTTTATTAATTATTATGAAACTACTGCAATTAATGTAATCACATTTATTCTCACAAACAATACTCACCATCATACTGGTGTCATAGACAGGATTGTCCTCCTGAAAGGATCCATCAGGACGCTGTTTATTCTTGAGCAGGTACACCAGAGGGCCACACAGATTCTTGTCATTGATGTTTATAAACGATTTTACCATGGAGAAAACCTTCACCACATACGCAGTGATCCTGAGATGGACAGAACATAAAGACACAACATGACAGACACATGTTCAATGTGAAGCTGTGATCAGTAATGTGTTAGCATGAGTACCATGTGCTGGTGCCTTCTTTGGCATAGGGAGGGTATGAGTCATCCTTTTTTCGATAATTAAGTTGATTTTCATAACCTATAAAAAATGAAAATATAAAAAAATAATCTAAAACATCTGAAAGAATGATGTTCGTTCATATTTGAGTCTCATTGCACCTGTCTCAATGTATTTGATGGCCTCTTGTCTGCGATCTGTTCCCACAGCGTCCCAGTTTCCACTGCGGTCCAGGTAATGGGCGGCAATGAGTGGCAGCGTGATTCTGGCCAGGTTCTGCTCCACACACCCGCTGGGCATCCGGATCAACGCTGCCAGAGAGTCCTCCTTAATGGAGTTATCAATGCTGTCTGCCAGCAAATCACCTGTAGAGACACACACATAGACAATTTCCTATTTCTACACAGCCATACTCTTTACTAATGAAAAATAATATCTATATGTGAGTTGTTAATATGTCAAAAGTGCTTAATTAGCAACAAAGAAAGGAGACATTATCCAAAATATAGTCATAATAATCTTAAATATTATCTGATATAAATTCTAAAATAAATACAAACCTCTGACATTGATGAATGCCTTAGGCTTTGAATTTGGTACCACTGATTTTAACTCCATTTTCTCCACTTTTATCACCTGTCTCCCTGATAATAAACACAAATGAAAAATTCTAAAAGAATAAAATGCACCAATAACACACAAACATCACAGAAATAAACATTCATTACAGAAAAACAATTAAAGAAATATATTAATGTATTCACAAAATACATAGACAAAAGCAACATTACTTCCAAAACTATTAAATTTGTACATCTAATTATTGTTCTGAAAAAAAAAAACCCTGCAAGCTCACCACTGTCTCCTTTCTCAGAGGGGTTCAACACAAAGCTCCTTGACTTGACTCTCTGGATGCCTTCTACCTAAAACACCAGACACAGCACATGCCACACACACACACACAAAATACTTGTGAAATGTAGTTTGATACACTTTCACAGAACACACAACATGTATTATGTAATATATATCACAAAACTGTTTCCATAAGTAAGTGTGAGATGTTTTAGGAGCCCGCTCACTACCACACGTAGATTCTTCCTCACTGTATCCGCTTCAATAAAAGAACGCGCAATGGCTGTGACCTGTAGAGGGAGCTCCCCTGTTTTAAGAGGGATGATGGCGTATGAAATGAGCTTGGAGGAGCCGGCCGGTACCAAAACCTGCTGCCTGTGAGCTCTGCTAAATGCCACACTAAACATGTATTTTGTCTTTTCCAGGATTACCATTACCTGCAAACAGACAGAGTGTTCAGGGCAGGTTCATGGATCATTTGTTCACGTATGGCACCCCTGTCTTGTGTAGTAATGTGTAGTCACATAATATGACATTTACATTAAATGGTCCAATGGTAGGCTTAAAATTTGTGAGCAGAAGTTGTGCTGAAATGTCAGTTTATCCTGTTAAGGTTGATTCTAACTTCTTTGACCTCAGATAACAATAGGTTTTCATTAAAATACGATACATGAAATAACATAATAGATATTTTTATATGTAAATGACATTCAGATACCCTATTGAAATTAATAAAGAGTGAAAAATAAATATTATTATTAGGATTGATTTTATTTGGCATGCACATAGAGGTGCGCTGTTTAGATTGGGTTTGTGTTGAAGAGCGCCAAGTCATTCATTCACAATGTACACAACATTATCATACATGTCTAAAGGATTAAAGCTTGTCAGGTAAAGCATGAGTTTATTGATGCAATTCAGTCAATCAGCTGTTTTATTCCAACTGTTTTATTCCTGGTTGGAGGCTTACATAATTATTTAACTTATATGTAGAATTATGTTTCAAGTTTTATGGTTCAACCCAAAAATTTGTAGTAGTGTGTAAGTTGTAACTTTGTGCCTTTTTACGTCGCAACTAGTAAGTTGTAACTTACTCACAGCTTGTGCATAAGCCTGAAGTCAGAATAAGGTGAACAGTCAGGGAAACTTGCCTTCAGGTTTTCATTCCCGTAGTTGTGGACCACAGCTTTGATTTCCACATGTTCATTTCTGGACACTGAGTGAGGCAGCCGCAGGTCTATGAAGAACGGCTTCCACGCCTGGACGTTATGCAGTTCAGCTACACAGAAACCTACAGTGCATCATATGGTTCAGTTGTATATGCAAAAACCAGAGATAATCTAATTCTGCTGTCTCTGCCAAGACAAACAAGAGGCGGACAGACAGACAGACAAGAACAGAGCTGTTTACCTATCTCAGTTGAGGCACTGATGGCTAGAAACCCCCACTGAGTGATACTGTCAGGAAGAGTGGTGTTCACTGGAAATACAGCCAACCTGAAATAAATGTATGAAAAGTCACTCTCAACAATGACTACGTGTGATCAAGGTCTTCAGACTCACTAGAAACTTCTAGGAAAGTGTTACAGCTAGTTGGAACTAAAATCTGCAGGAGCAGAATCGGACACCTTTGGTTTACATGCATTGATTTTCATCAATCCAAATGAATACCATCTAATTACCGATTCTGAAAGTTCTGTTTATATAAACCCTAAAATTTGCAATCCAATTCATATTTTTGTTTACAAGTGCATTTATGTTTTCCGAACAAATCTTCAGTGCATGCGAAGTGCATATACATGTCACGTCACTGCACTGCACATGTGCTCAAAAAATATATATTTTTGAATCCGACTGAAAAGATAGTCATATTCAAGTGTTTACATGCAAATTTTTTCCCATTAATTGGATTTTTTTCAGGTTAACTCCAACCCTTTCAATTCAACTGAAATTTCATTTGGATCAAACTCATTCGGATCAATTGACCTATCGGTAAGCCCCTCCTCTCGAACGCAGATGAACCAATGGCAGTCGAGTATCAGTTGCACGGGGAGCGGAACTCGGACATCTTTAGGTTTCAGCGCCATAGAGAAACATTGGAAGATCCGAAGCTTGCATCGGTTTAATGGTGCTTATGCAACAAAAATGGAAAAACAATGTGCCTAGGGTACTTGTAACACTAATTCCAGTTATCCTGAGAGGATAGGCAATGTAATTTATTTTATTCCATTTCCTAAATCCAACCAAAACAGAGCAAAATGTCCCTAAGCATTCAACCCCAATCACAATGAAGACGAAAACATTCATTTTCTGGTTGTCATACTCTCATTAAGTAACACTTTTCATGTGCTCAAGCAGAACGTTAATGTCATCTTGTGCTTCAGCAAGGTATCTCTGGCTAAAACTAGCTAACGTTAGCATTAAAGTTAGTGAGTCCATGCTAACGTACATAGCGAACTTTTCTCACGTCATGTACCGTGCAGCGAAAGTTAAAAACACATAAACGAAGGTCTAAATTAGAGTGCCTCTCCATATTAATCTGGTTAAATGTAAATTAATTTAATCTTACTCTGCGGTATATGAACGGGATGTTGTCATTGCGATCGTGACTACCGTAACATAATTCTCCCGTTTGCATTGTGGTCTGTATTTTTACATATTTATTTTAATATCTTTTATATATCCCTCCAGGGCATATTTAAGTCCCACTTGAAGGTCCATCTGTGTCCCAAATTGATCAGAAACACCTCGGAAGAAGGTTTTCACTGACAGCCGTCACACAGTGAGCAACTCTGTTTGTTTGACCGAGTGAGCAACAGTAACTAAGGGGGATGGGGCTTACCGATAGGTCAATTGAGGTGTTTACTAAAATAACGCTCTCGGTTACTCACGTAACCTCGGTTCCCTGAGATGAGGGAACGAGACATTGCTATGGGAATTACCCTTTCCTCCAATACTACTGAAGCCTTATTGAATCACACCAGTGAAACTGGCCAATGCCGTTAAAGCGCGCGAAATATGAGGGGCTCCCACTCTATATAAAGCAGCGCTTGTATGTCATCCATTCAGAATCTCGACTGAAGCAACTTGGCATTCAAAGATCCTGAGCTAGGTGACACGGAAATAAGAGCAATGTCTCGTTCCCTCATCTCAGGGAACCGAGGTTACGTGAGTAACCGAGAGCGTTCCCTTTCGATTCGGTCACTCTACATTGCTATGGGAACGTATAAAATCCCGCCGTGTCACAGCGATGGCCGTGTCGTGGCTCGACTAAGTATGTCAAGTTTCTCATACGGAACCGTAATGACAGCGGCAATGATATTGGCGCTCTTGTTAAACACAGCTCAGGTCTACAGGACCTAGTCGAAACCATGTAAAAGTCAAAAGTAAAAGTCACTAGACGATGCCGCGTCGCACCAGGGGCGGAGGTAACACCAGTGAAACGGAGAATGCGAAATGGCTGCATCTCCGGCGCCATCACATATAGATTAGTTAAGGTTTGTTTAATTTCAATGAAATTATGCGTTATGATGCAACGGCTGTACCGGTGCTCAACAATGTGATAAGTTGATAGGGACAGCATTGAATTAGTGGTACGTCAATACAGGGGTGTATACGACCTAGTCGAAACCACTGAGGCAAGCAGCTCAGATCATAACTGAGGCTGAGTAGGCGCCGTGTGCTGCTCGCACTGACAGTATGTGAGGCAAGCAACGACACATCTAGGTTATAAAATCTCGCGAAAGTGCTGGGTGACAACCAGTCTGCCGCCATGCAAATGTCCTGAATAGATATGCCATTTACCCAGGCCCATGAGGACGCGAGTCCACGGGTTGAGTGCGCCCGAACCCCTATAGGACATTTCACGCCCTTAGAGCCATAAGCTAAAGCAATTGCGTCGACGATCCAGTGTGACAGCCTTTGCTTGGACACAGGCAGGCCTTTTGTGCGCCCTCCAAAGCATACAAATAGCTGTTCCGAGAGCCTGAACTGTCTAGAGCGCTCTGTATAAATGCGCACTGCATGTACAGGGCACAGCAAAAGTGTATTGAGCGGCTCCGTCCCGGCCAGTGTTTGGGGATGGAAAGCAGATGACCTGCGCTTTAAATGGAGAATCACCTGGCCCGAATTCAATACACGAGTCGTCAATTGACAGTGCCTGCAGGTCCCCAACTCGCTTAACAGAGGCCAGCGCGAGCAGGAGCGCTGTCTTGAGAGAGAGCGCACGCAAGCTCGCTGATTGTATGGGCTCGAACAGGCTTTTTTGGGTAGTTGAATGGGTCTTCGCCCCGCGACCCGCACCAATTTGTGAAAACTCTCCATTTATGTGCGTAAAGATGTCTAGTGGAAGGAGCCCTAGCCTCAGAGATTCTCAGAGTGTTCAACACGCGCTGAGGAAGTGCATCTGTTATAGGCAAGCTCCGTCGAGCGGCCAGACATGAAGGATCCATGACTCTGGATTAGGATGCTATATCGTTAACTGTGCTTGAGAGAGGAGGTCTCTCCTCTCCACCAGTTCTGGGAACCACGGCTGACTGGGCCATTTCGTGCCACTAACAGAACAGATTCCCTTTCCTCTCTGATTTTGCAAAGCACGAGAGCCAGAAGTTTCACTGGAGGAAAAGCATACTTGCGTACTTTCGGCCAGCTGTGAGCTAATGCATCCACTCCCAGGGGAGAGTGTGTCAGGTGAATAAAACAGCGGGCAGTGAGTGTTCTCCGCTGATGCGAAGAGATCCACCTCCGCCCTGCCGAATACACTCCAAATCATATTGACTGTCAAAGGGTGTAATCTCCACTCCCCGTGGATTACCCCGCCCCTCGACAGTAAGTCCACGCCATAATTCAGGCGTCCGGGGACATGTACTGCCCGGATGGAGAGGAGGTGTCAATCTGCCCACAGAAGAAGGTCTCTCGCCAGCCGCAGCAGCGGCCGCGAGCTCACGCTCCCTTGGTGATTTATAGATGCTACCACTGTCATGCTGTCTGTCCTGATGAGAACGTGACGGTGGAGAATGTCCGGGAGAAAACACTCGAGCACTAGGTGTACAGCACAGAGCTCCAAACAGTTTATGTGCCACAACTTCTCAGTTTCTGACCATGTCCCGAAGGCTGGTCTTCCGTCGCCCAGCCCGTGCTCGATGCATCTGTTGTAACAGTCTTTCTCCTGATCACTTGGCCAATAAGAACACCCCGGCGATACAGTGTCATATCGCGCCAAGGGGTGAGCGCATCCCATCAGTTGCGCGTCACTTTGATGCGCAAGGTGCCCGTGCGCCATGCGCTCTGTGGCATCCGGCACATTAGCCAGAGCTGAAGCGGTCGCATATGTAGGAGCCCTAGTTTGCACACTGTCGAGGCGGCAGCTATCTGGCTGAGCGTCCTCTGAAAGCATTTCAGCGGGGGAGAGTGCCCTAACTTTAAGACTGTAAGAGAGCTGATCAGTTTTTGTGAGCGTACCAGCATGCTCTTTTGCATATTCACAGTCAGCCCTAAGCTCTGAAGATGAGCAAGGAGTCTGAGCTTGTTGCTGAGCAGCGCGCTCTCTGATTGGGCTAAGACTAGCCAATCGTCGAGATAGTTCAGGATGCGCATTCCGCTCTGCTTCAGAGGAGAAAGAGCGGCATCCATGCATTTCGTAAACGTACGAGGGGCCAGGGATAAACCGAAGGGTAGGACAGTGAATTGGTACGCTATCCCCTCGAATGCGAATCTCAGGAAAGAGAGGGGGCTACCTGAATGTGAAAATAAGCATCCTTTAAATCCACAGAGATAAACCAATCTCTCGGTCTGATGTGTGAGAGGATTTGTCTCAGCGTAATCATTTTGAACGAGCGCTTCGAAAGCGCGTGATTCAGCGGTCTCAAATCCAAGATTGGGCTGAGTCTGCCGTCTTTCTTTGGTACCAGAAAATAGCGACTGTAGAAGCCGCTCTTGCGGTCTGGGGGCGGCCTGCGGAAGAACTGAAGCGTGTAGCCGTTCTTTATTGATTTCATAACCCACTCTAATACCCCTGGCATCATATAATAACAACGGATAACTCGCCGTTGGGGGGCGGGGAGTTTAATACCACACGAGTGTGAGAGTGAGTGATGGGGGAGAGGGGAGTGAGAGGAGGAAAATTGCCCTGATATTGAAGTGAGTTTTGTATTTTTTTTACTTTATTGCACTGCATAGTGGAACAGTCAAAACACAAACATGACAATTGCTCTCGCCGCCCGCAACAGGCAGGGGGGGCATGGTGAACACACAGCGGAGTGAGCAGACTTTTTCAGTGGCTCATCTTCGGCGCTGGGTGCAGATTTCCTCCTCTGAGACACAGCATCAGGAATGCGGCTTTGATTCCGGTGCCTTCGAGCCCTGACAGCGCTTCGGCCAAGGCTGTCTTGGTTTCATCATGTTCGCGCCGAACAGCAGCAGAAGAGGCGTGTGGTCTTCCCGCGTGCTGCGCTGAGGAGGAGGGGGAACGCGCAGGAAGGTTTGCGCCGGCGTGCTTTGGCAGGAAGTGGCTAATAGCCTTCGGCTGTTTCTGCGCTTCAACAAAACGCTCCGTGAACGTCTCTACCGCTGCTCCGAAGAGACCTGACGGATTCATGGGAGCGTCCAGAAGGGCCGTTTTTTCCAAGTCTTTTAACTCGGTCAGAGTAAGCCACAGGTGACGATCTAGCACCACAAGATTCCCCATGTTGCGGCCGATTGTTTGAGCGGTCACCTTCGTTGCTCTGAGGGCCAGATCCGTGGCGCGTCAGAGCTCTTTGAACACTTTAGGGTCCGGCCCGTCCTCATCCAGAGACTTGAGCAGCTTGGCCTGATACACCTGGAGTATCGCCATCACGTGCAGTGCTGAAGCTGCTTGGCCCGCCAAAGGTTTAGAGGGGAAAGCAGCAGGAACGCAGCTTTGATTCCGGTGCCGGTGGCCTGCCGTCTCTGCCAGGGCGGGGTCTCTTTGGGGGCGCTTTGGCCAAGGCTGTCTTGGTCTCACCGCCAGCTCATGTTCGCGCCGAACAGCAACAGAAGAGGCGTGCGGTCTTCCCGCGCACTGCTCTGAGGAGGAGCGGGAACGCGCAGGAGGGTTCGCGCCGGCGCGCTTTGGCAGGAAGTGGTTAATAGCCTTCGACTGTTTCTGCGCTTCAACGAAGCGCTCCATGAACGTCTCTACTGCTGCTCCGAAGAGACCTGAGGGATTCACAGGAGCATCCAGAAAGGCCGTTTTTTCCGAGTCCTTTAACTCGGTCAGAGTAAGCCACAGGTGACGATCTAGCACCACAAGATTCCCCATGTTGCGGCCGATTGTTTGAGCGGTCACCTTCGTTGCTCTGAGGGCCAGATCCGTGGCGCGTCAGAGCTCTTTGAACACTTTAGGGTCCGGCCCGTCCTCATCCAGAGACTTGAGCAGCTTGGCCTGATACACCTGGAGTATCGCCATTTCACGTGCCCATCAGAAGCTCGCAGCACTTTCCTCCTTGGCTCGAAAGAGACTGCAGAGGAAGAGTGCGGCAGGGCTAGTTGGGTGAGTTCATCGCCTTGGATGACGGCCACACGGAGCCTGAGAGTCCGGAGACTCAT